CTGGCGCTATAGAGAAAATATAATTAAATAAAATTAACTTGATCTTCAAGGGGGGCGGGGGGTGCCGTTGGGGGGGCGGGCTGCCCTCCTAATATAATGGCAGGGGAAACACTGACTGTAGTATGTAATATTTGATAGAAAGAGAGATGTGGTGTTTTACAGCAAGGCTACTAGATTGGAACAATAGCTTGTTATTAGAAAAGCTATAAAAGTTTCTTGAAAATCTACAGCCAAGCTACCCATCATGTTTGGCAAATGTGTTAATTGGAAAATTAAGTAATTGACACTTTTATTTATTTACACCAAACAGTGATACATTAACATACACACAGACACACTTGTTTCACTATATTAGTAAGAACATCCCATAGACTTCCACTGTTTTTATATCAGGTTAATGTTTTTTTTTTTCAACCTGACCCCTGCCAATAAACATAGCCATAACAGAAACCTCTACAAATCACTAGATCTAAGTAAAAACATGATTTAGCCTACCTGAGAACACTTGAAACTAGTCAGTTGTCATGACATTTCATTGCATAAGTGAGGACATTCAGTCCTTGTAAGGCTAAATAGCTAAACAAGTACAAACACACACACATTGCCACACATCTCGTGCCACAAAAACCTGTCTGACTGTTACCTGCAGTGCCAGTAGCATGATTTGGATCCAGAGGTGTGGCTGACGGCTACACAGTGAGAAACAGGACTTCCCGTACAGGCAGTAGTGTCCTTTCAGTGGACAGGAGAAGGACAGCTTAGCTACACAGTCACGATGTGAGTCTGGAGAACAAACACACACATAAACACAGGAGCATGAATTGCTTATGAATTCCTTTGCCAGAAATGGAATCTATTTCCCCAAACCACAAAATATCCTAAAATAAACTCCCAGCAGCTAAACTGCTCCATCTTTGAATACAATAGTGTAGTCAGACTCCAAACCACTGCAGAAGAAACAAAACCAGACACTCATAATGTTTTAGGGCATTTTTAGACCTGTAGATCATTTGCTTTGTTCTGAAACAATGTTGCATTTAGTCGATCTTGGGCTGACTGCATGTTCATATATGCCACAATGAACCAAACTAAGGGAGAAAATGCAACAAGCCAGATGTCAAAACACCCTTAGTGAAATATGATTAAATATTGTCAAAATTATTTTGGAATTTTGTGACAGTCTTATTTGCAATCATTAAATTGTTCCACATATATACTTGCATTATATTGGCCCAGTCCACCTAGTCTCAGCCTCAGACGGCATGGCAATGGATGGATGACTACCCATCTGATGCATTTGGTAATTTTACATGTTGGTCACATGGTTGGGAGGTTTATGTTATTTATTTATTTGGTTGTGCTATTTGAGCCTCTCAATCTCACCCTGCACTGTGGATATATTGGCATTCCCATTGGCCATTGTGAAGCCTATTTCGGTAAACCACTACTCATAACTGTGTCGTTGTGTTCAGTCTATTGATTATACAAAACACTTCAAATCAATCTCTCTATAAACATCATTAATCATCCATTCTCTTTGGCCTTCATTGACACTATATGTGTGAGGGAGAAGAAGAGTGAAGTTAGTATTGTGTTGCGTTTATGTATTTGGGTTTGTATATGTGACCCTGCCAGTTTAGCATCAGCCTGAATGTCCCTCGACTCTCCATATGTGTTTATGAAACAATACTTGGAGCATAATTATGCTTTGGTTCTCATATTTTTTTTTTAATGTGACTCAGTGACATGTGGATTATGCATCAACTGTTTAATGAAAAAAAAAAACAATGAAAGAAGTGAGAAACTGTAGTTGGGCCACTTAGAATAACTAAATCTTGATGGGCTGGAGATAAATGAGTGTATTCTTGTAAAAAAAAGACCAGCTTCCGCGAGACAAAGTAGAATGTGGACAAGCAAATTACACTTTGGAATTAATGGTGTTGATGATTCATCTTAGTGATTCAAATCTTTTGACGGTGCTTATTAAAAAGATTCAGTCAGATTAGTTCACTCACTTGTTCAGCGACTCTTTCTGTAGGTAACATCAATATACCAGTAGGTGACAACCAGTGAATGTTTTCTATTGAGCAATCATTGAATTACTTACTCAACAGGTTTGTTTAAGTCTTGCATGTCTACAGATTTCCTAAGAGACTCTAAAATGAGTGTTTAAACTAACTTTTTATCCACAATAAAGCAGTGACAATAAAGCAAATGCATTTTTGTCCTTTTTGTTGACTTCTCTGAGCATGCCTTATCAAACAATACAAAATAATTATGAGTTTCAAAAAACATCTTTGTCTTTTTGCATATTCATAATTGATCTATCTCTTCTTCCTAACAGACTCAAACACTTTCTCATGTAATGAAAAGGCATGTTTGTTCAATGGGTCTAGTCAATGAAATGTCTCTTCACATCCACACTTGAATGCTATTTGCTCACTCTAATTGTGCGCTTCAAAAGGGACTAAATGCTAAAATTATATCATAAAGGACTAGAGCAGAAGACCAATAATTGGCAACAATTATTGACAACAATCAAATACTGTAATGACAAAAAATAATGACAATATTATTGTCAAATAATGACAACAAATCTCTCACAAAATCCTTTCTAACAGCTTTACCACACATGACTATGACAGTAGCTGATCCTCCATGATGTGGTGAGTATGATTGCATTGAATCCCTCACTCTGACACACACACAAGCACACTCACATGTATTCCGCTGGTTCAGCAGGTCGCCGACTGATCGATTACCTTACAGTTTCTCTGTGGGAGATATACAAGTGAATAATGTGAAGGGGAGGCAGAGACCCAGGCCAGTGCAGAGGAGATGTTAAAATAGCTTTGCATCTGGATACCAGAGCCAAGCTGCCCCTCAAACTGTCTGCCACCCTCAGCTGAACAGCGTGTCACATTCAGTGCACTAATAGATGATAATTAGTGGTGTTTGAAAAGGCAAGCATCACTCTAACTATTGTTCATACTTATGGATTTGAACAAAACCTTAACTTTATGAATTTAACAAACATGTAACTCATCCTGCACTGCACTATTGATATGAATCAAATCATGCAACTTTTTCTAAGCAACTGAACTTCTAGAAGCCTGATGGACAATATAACAGGTGAAAAATTCAATATACTTGAGAATGAGGGTCCAGAGTCAGGACAGCTGACTCCTGAATCTTTTCATATTCTTCATAGTGTGTGGTGGTTCACAGCAGTGACAGAAATTAGAGGATGCTACTAAATGTTTTAAAAATTAAATTTTGAATATTAAAATATAAAATTAATTAGAAAAAAATGAAATGATACTTTTAGTAGGTGGCAGCAAGTCACTTAATGAGTGAGTCATTGATTCATTCATTCTACAAATTTGTTCAAACAGCTGAATCATTCAGAAACAAATCAAGTCACTGTCTTTATGAATCATTCACTAAAATCATTTGTTCAAGAGCGCAGATTCATGCAATAGTGAAACACTGTTGCTCAAAGATATGTAATGGTTCTGCTGTGGCTTTTGTTTGGAACTATTTTTTTTATTGGCCAAATACAGCAAAAACAGTTAATACTGTGTCCAAAATGTAACTCACTTAACATTAACTTGTTTATTGAACTGTATAATAACATCGATATCACATTTGGAATTCATATTCAGGAAAAAATTGCACTCGTGTTATGATATTGCGCAACTATTCTGGTGTTCTGCCAGGGCAAGCACCCATTTTTCTACAGAAATTGTCAATAAGCAATGGATAGCTAATATTATAATTAACATTATAATTATAATCATGTTATAATTCATGTTATTATAATAAAAATAATGACCTCAAGTCTGCTTTAATGCATACTCTGTGGCGGCCAAGAAACAAGACCGCGAAATGGGCTGATGGTGCAATAAGTGGCTCAGTGAACATCATCCTATTTGCTAAGTTTAATATTTTCTTGTGTGCACACAAAAGTCTGCATATTTATTTTTGCATCAATCCTTTTAGAGGCTCTGTAATACGGTGCTAAGAATATCGTGAGAAGAAACCCAAAGCGGTTATAACTTGCATTTCTGCATAATGAAAATGTGCACATTGAATTAATTCAGTCGTGTTTGACAATCCCTAAAGAATCATTACACAGCTGCCATTAAAACACACTTCTTGTATGATATTTATTTTCATTAAATTCTTAATTTTCTATTATAGAAAATTAAATAGGGGTAAAAGTCTGTAAATGCAAATATTTTTCTGTACTCTGCTTTCTTTTTTCTGTACTTTTCCAGACCTGGAAATGAAATCAAATTCCATACTTTTCCAAATTGCATAGGAACCCTGTAGATAACTCGGCATGGCATTCCAATATGTAACTGGTGTGATTACATTTCTAACATATTTCAAAATATGCCAGGAAAATTGTCTCCTCTGGTTGCTAAAACAACAACAAAAAACTGAACTAGAAGCTGACCTGAAATTCAGTCTTGTATAAACACATTCATGTCCAAATTAATTCCCATGTACAAAGTAACTTCTGGATGAGCGTTCTCCATCTGCACTACTCATAAATGCAAGGTATTTTTTAACGTGTCACTGTGTGGATTGCTCTAAGATTTGAAAGGTTACCTTCAATGACACAGTGCTCAGGTATGGGGATTTGCTTGATCATTTCTGCACAGAAGGTTTTGATTTCTTCCATGTTGTCTCTTAGGTGGATCCAGAGTCGATCTCCCTCCCGGGGATCTCCAGCCACCACCTTTTGCCCCTCACTGTTTGGAGATGTGTCAGGTTGAGTCTCTGTGAGTTTGTGGTTCTCCTGCAGGGCCGTGAGGGCAGAACCAGTCTCTGAAGTAGGAATGGCCTCACAGACATCGAGTTCTGCGCTCAGATCCACCCCTTCTCCCTCTGGACTGCTGTCAGAGTTAATGGATCGTGTGCGTACAGCGTGAAGAGCCAGACTCTTTGACCTGAACACGAGAGAACAGCACATGTCAAAATACAAAAACTCAATTTATTTTAGGCTGTGAGTTATTAAAAAGTGCCATACTCTCTTAGAAGATGTATGTAGTATTCATATTTTTGCAGTGTTGAATTTTGCTAAATCAAATGTAAGACTTTAAGACATGCATAAATAAAATGAATACCATACGTATATAAAGAATGATGAGTGCTATTTAAAAACTTTCACCATACATTCTACTATTCCTTTCCATGTGCAAACATAAAAACGTTTCATTCAAGTTTCAATCATTTATTACATGTTCAGTTGTTCATGCAATATACCACAATAAGCTTTAGAATCAGAATAGCGAATAACAACAAGGCATATCAGTGCAGAGATTTGATTGACTATTTGGGTGGATAGCCATTTATCTATCGGAAGGTCTATTTCAGCTATTATAAACTTTTAATTTATTTCTAAATTCCCACAGGTCAGGCCCACCTGTTGAACCTCATCTCTCTGCGCTCGTCTCGCGCTGCCTGACCCAGACTGTGGCGTCTCTGAGGACCAGGAGAAGCACCCTCTTCCTCAGATTCTTCCACCTCATCGCCCATCTTCTGCTCGAAAGCCTGGATCTTCACCTGCAGGTGCTGGTTCTCAGCAAACATGTCAGAACCAGACTCAGCTTCACACGGCCTGGACAAATCCTGCACCTTCTCCTCCTCTCTGACGCACAAAGATAAAGGCCAAGTTCAGAATGGAATACAACTGCACTGCCTAGTGTATACTGAACAGTATGTACTACTTACTTTATACCAGTTGAAATAGTATTGACAGTAGGTAACACTTTATTTTACAGTGACCTTGTTACACATATTTCATTACTATACTTACTATAGTAATAACAGTAAATTCTGCATAATTACAATCAAGTACATTAAACCCTAACACTACACTGTAAAAAATATCATTTTAACTGTGAAAGACCTGTTAATTGGTTACTGGTAAGTTCCTTTACTATAAAGAAAAACTGTAATAGAGCTAACAGGAAGTTTAATGTAATTTTACAGTAAAATACTGTTAAATGTACAGTTTGTGGAAGTGAAAAAGAACAATAAGATTATAATTTCCAGTGTAAAACTGTAAACTAACATTTCCAAAATTCCCTGTTTGACACTGACATTATGTTTAAATAATTGGGTAACAGTTCATGTTATCAGTTATATATATTAGGGTTTTATGCTACAACTCATGTTGTTTAATTCATGTTTATTGCATTATTTTAGTGTCATGTGTGTTATAATTATGGTGTTTTGTATTTTTGTGTACTACACTGTGTACCTTCTACATACTGGTATTTACCTCAGCTTGAAAAGCTACTTGTAATGAACTTTAATTCTTCCTCCTATTAATATTAATACAGACCTGCCAACCTTGGAAATTTTTTTTAGTACCATCAGCATGGGGCGTGGGGGTACTTGGAGTGGGGGTAAACAGCTTACTGTTTTTTACCGTTTACCGTAACTGTTTAGTTAATTTTTGCTATTTCGTTTTTTTTATGCTATTTAAAAAAGAAAAAAACTCCAGTACACTTTAATTAAAACTCCAGTACACTTCTGTATAGGGCATATGAGCAAAAATTCATATAGTCAGAAAAAATTTTTTGGCTGATTTGCGGTATACGGTAGCCTATATATCTCGGTATTATGTATTTGGATTAAACAAATAAAGTGAATGTAAGCATGTAGGCATATATTATGTGCAAAAAAGGGTTAAAATCACATTACATTGTAACATTGCAATCTAAAAACAAAAATAATCCTTTTAAAGCAGAAGTTAAAGTTACTAAACTAAAAATGAAAATAATAAAAAGCACAGACTAATTGAGTATAAAGGCTATTTTGATTACCCCATTACACTTTACAGTTAGTGCTATCATACAAATACACTTACTTGTAGGTTTAAAATTCTACATATGTCACATTTATTGTCCCACTACAAAATGTATATTTTAGTCAGAGTTATTGCACTCCTATATCATTGAGCTCTGTCTGTTTGGCGTGCGGCGGCGCTCGTTCTAAATGAAGTCTGTGGAGTTTAGCGGAGAATCGCAAAGCAAAAGCTCATGCACTTCTGACAGCAAAATGGAAATATTTCCATGGCTTTTTTAACATTTACAGATGGAGAATATACCTGTGAAATGTAAGTTATGCATTAAGGAAAGCAGCACATCTCAAACACATTAAACAGCGCGTCTCTGTCAGCCTCACACGCAGCCTTTCTGTCAGAGCATCTGACGGGGCGAGCGCGAGCCGCTTTGAACTGAAACTATAAACTATAGGCTACTAGGAGAGAAATAAAACGCAGAAATTATTTAAATGCAAAACCCCCCAAAAAACCCACTCTGATTGGTTGAACTCTTCATCTTTTTCTGTTGCTTGTTTACAATACTGTGCGTGGACAGAGGCGTCACTAGATTTTTGTGTAGTTTAGAGTGACAAATCGTACCAGCGTACTTTGAGGTCAAAATGCGTAGCCGCTACGCAAAATGCGTACAGGTTGGCAGGTCTGTTAATAGCTTAATTTAGGCTTAATTTACAGTCTAAACTGCAGTTTGAATGCAGTTTATTGTCAATAAACAAAAATACAAAACTAATGTCACAGGCACGTAATAATAATGGTTTATTCCAAACATAAAAACAATTTCTATGTAGTTGAATTAAAGATTTTGGAAAGCAATTTTGAAAAAGAAGATAAGCGAGAACAAAGTGAGAAAGAATATAAAAGTAGAAAACGGACAGTTATATCCTGTCCCTTCTCTTATTTGTACAATAAATAAATCAATAAATAAACACACAAAAAAAAAACACTATCCAGTATTTCATTTAGTAGATTTCTCTTTATTCGTCATCTTTCCAACGCAACCTATTTTCCTTATGAGAGAAAAATTAAGTCTTAGAAACAGAGAAATTAACAAAATGTTTCTATCTGGAGTACATCTTTACCTCATTGGACTTTTAGCAATGAAACTGCCAAAGCACTGATTAGCTGAAGAATTTTGCAATGGTTAAGGTTGACAGGCAGACAAAGGCCTGCGGATTAGGGAGCTTTTAAACAGAAGTTATTCCATCATAATAAAATGTCAATTATTTCAATAAAACTAATCACCCGTGTGGTTTAAAGAATGAATATTGGAACATGTCAAGGCTATTTAGGAAATCTAAGCAAGTGACATAACTGGGAAATTTGTTTGACTACCTGCTAAGTGTGCTGTCAGCCTCCAGCTTGCGGCCCAGCAGTCGAGCGATGGCGGTGAAGCTGTTGCTCATGCGGTAGATGTCTTTTCCTCCGCCACCCAGGATGGAAGTGTAGCGATCGGTCAGGCAGCGGATTTCCAGCAGTAGTGTGTGATGGGCGTTGTGCTCCATACTTGCTAACAGTGACAGCAGATACTGCAGCGCCCCGCGAGCCTGGACCTGCACACAAGAGGTCAAATGTGTGTGACAGGTATGACACTGAAGACTGGAGTTATATCTGCAGAATTTAGCTTTGCCATCACAGGAATAAATTACATATAAATTACATTAAAACATAAAACAGATATTTTAAATTGTAATACTAAATCAAACTGAAAGGGGGGGATAATAAATTATCATACTGGCGTCAGCAATCGAATTCCCCTTTGAAAACATAAGATTTGTATATCATGATGTACTACTAACACAATCTGGATGTGAAAGGTCAAAAACAACCTCTGATATCATATACAGACTGATCTATCTCCATCCCATGATGCCAAATCTCAAGGTCTAAAGAAACAAGTTTCCATCAACGTGAAAAAAACTACTGTAAATAAGTGATTGTCATGATGTTGTCACGATATGCTGCCGGAAGGAACGAAGGAGTCGTGGATAAACGAAACTGTCATTTATTCAATCCAGCACACAGGGTAAATCCACACTTGGGAGGGAAGGAAGACACACGTACCCAACTGGTAGACCTGACATATCGCTCCCCTCCCAGAAAGGTGCGTCCTCGCGCCGAAGAAACAACAGAAGGAGGGCCGGTTGGGAACTTGGGAGGAGGCTCAGGAGGAGGATGGACACCCGGGAGGGGGCCGGCAGACAGAGTCCAGGGAGGTGATGACGGAGGGAGGAGCCAAGGAGGAAACAGGAGGAGCCAAGGTGGATCAGACGGAGGTAGGAGCCAGGGAGGAAACAGGAAGGACTTAGAGCATTCGGTGCCAGGTGGGACCCAGGCCACAGCCATAATGATGACTCACAGTGGAGCCGACTGAGGGAGGAGCCATGGAGGAGGAAGGGCTGATGACTCCAGGTGACCCACCAAATACGGCGGAGCAGATGGCGGAGGAGCCCGAGGCGGAGAGCCGATGAGCCATGGCGACGGGGAGGATCCGGAGGGCCAAGGCGGAGCAGATGGCGCCGATGACCAAGGCGGAGGTGGGGATCCGGAAGGCCGCAGTGGAGCCGGAGTGACAGAGGACTGAGGAGGAGCCGAAGGGATGGAGGAGCCTGACAGAGCCAGAGGGATAAAGGAACGAGGCGCAGCCGGAGGAGTGGAGTCCTGAGGCGACGGATGGTCGACGACAGACCAAGGCGGAGCCGGAGGAAAGAGGGAGCCCGGCGGAGCCAGTGGACTGATGGACCACGGCGGAGAGGAGGGAGCTAGAAGCCATGGTGGAGCCGCTGGGTCAACGGGCCAAGGCGGAGTCCGGGGCTTAGAGGCTGGAGGCAAAGTCAAGGGATTCTCCAGCCACGGTGACGATGCCGGATAGCCTCTGGGCTTTCAGGGCTTAACTCAGGAACGGGAGCCCTCTCTGGGCTGGATGTGGAAACCGGAGCCCTCTCTCCTTCGGAGTTGCACAGTCTCAGATCCGTAATTAGCTCACCCTCGGCCACGGTGCAGGGGGTGGAGCTCCTCTCTGCGCTCTCACTGTCCGTGGCTTTCTCCCTTGTGGCAGGCGTTGTAGCCGGCTCTCGTACCTGGTCTGATGATCCGAGAGGCTCTGGCTCCGTGGCGATCCTCAGCTCTGTCGCACTCCTTGGCGATGGCTCGTTGGTCGCAAATCTGTTGCTTTACCACACTACTTTAGGTAATTCAAAGTCACTGTAATAAACATATGTAAACATGTGGACTGCACTAAACACTGTCTGTTAACTTTAGACCAGTGGTTCTCAAACTTTTTTTGCAAATGCTTGAATCCAGACAACAAGGACGGGAACAGGAACGACCAAATAAGGGCACATGAGGGAGAAACTGGGTCACAGGGAGCACATAGGGAGCAAAACACAACAAAGACTGTCCAATTTCCTGACAGATGTCCTGTTTCATTAACTGTTCTTGAACATTTTTTAATGCAGTTTATATAACATTTTATACTCTGAATAAAAATGCATGTTCATCATGCTGAATAAAAAAGTATGCTCATCATAGAATGTATTTTTGAGTAAATAGAACACAAAATGAGTTTCACATCATTGGTTTGTGTATGATTACAGTCATGTATACTTTTTAGCAATACAGAAAATATCTAAGATCACAATATAGACTTTTTTTGTACAATTCTAAGAAAAAATTTCAGAATTTTAATATATAAACTCAGAATTTATTACAGACTTTTTCTCAAAATTTGTAGTTCTTAATTCTTGTTACATCTCACAATTCAGTTTTTTCCCCTCCATGGAATAAAAAACTGAGAGGCAATTGCAAATGTATATTTTAAAATTCTGAATTTATATCTCGCAATTCAGACTTTTTTCTCAGAATTGCAAGAAAAAATAAAGAATTGTGACAAAGTCGCAAGAAAAAAAGTCCAAATTGTGATAAAAAGTTACAATTACTTTTTTTACACAAACAAGCTTCCATAGTTTCTAACAAAATCGAAAACTTAACTTGTAATGAGATGGGAAATGCTGACAAAAAGTGTAATCAATCAATCAATCAATCAATCAGTAAATATTAATTATGGTAACATTATCGATTTCATCAATAAATCTAAATTTGTTTTTTCTCCCCATTACATCTATTTCCACATTTAAATCAATCTGCAATGATCTCAATCCGGTAAACCTGACATGGTCAAAATAAAATCATCAGATGCATCAACCAGGTAATTCCCCAGCAGAATTCTCTTCACTGGATATTATCCCAACTTCTAAAAACATTACAAGTTGGCACTTTGGTGGCGATGACTATATGATTATAGCCTATGATGTCAGGTTCAAGTGTTGGATTTTGCATGAATTAGGTAAGACAGTGGTCATTATTTATTATTCATGTTGGCTGTCATGTGAATGGAAAACCAAAGCACGCCTGCAATATATGCTCTTGAGTCACTTAAATAATTATCAATATGATGTAAGTTGGCCTGCTGGTATGTGATAGTGGCTCTCTAAATTGGGGTTTCTACAATATTACTGTCAGAATTGTTATGCAGTCAGATATGCACACTGAATAAATGTTAAAGGGGTCATATGATGCGATTTCAATTTTTCCTTTCTCTTTGGAGTGTTACAAGCTCTTGGTGCATAAATTCCGCTCACTCTAGGCCGCGGCTCACTCTATGGCAAATATTCAGATGTGTCCAGCGCATTTTATGGAGGACTGTTTCCTGATCCTGGTAGAGTAAACTACAATGCCGGCTGTTCTGACTCACAGACTGTAAGTACGTTTTTTTGTGTTTGGCCTAATAAGATCACTTTCATCAAAATTATTATGTTAAAACTATCAGGCAAATTTCATGCAACAATACCTTGCACAGTTTTCAGTTAAACAGGTCTTAAATTTGAGAAAACCGGAAATAATGGCTTTAGCGTGTTCACATGTGCAAATACAGTATGCATATCAGACAGACAGATATTTGGCAGTGAACTGAATAAGCGCTAACGATAATGGAGAAAGACTGGTATTGTTGCATTTTATTGCAGTATTGATTTGGTACCAAAGCAATACTTTTGACATCCCTATTGGTTATGATGCTGCCTTAGAAAGTAGCTCACACTTTCGAAATAAAATAAATAAATAAATAAACATGCAAATGCTTGAATCTATTTTCTTAACTGGATTCAAAAATACCTTAATGCTGTGATGCATGTGTTTACATGCACATTTTATACACTGACAAAAAAAGGATATAGGATTTACATTAAAGCAATTTTCACTAGTATATTTCAAAAATAGTTACAAAGAAATGGCCATTCACACGTAATTAAATGTGAAATTTTGAAGTACACTGAACAAAATTATAAACGCAACATTTTTGTTTTTGCCCCCATTTTTCATGAGCTGAACTCAAAGATCTAAGACTTTTTCTATGTACACAAAAACAAAAGTGTTGCGTTTATAATTTTGTTCAGTGTAGAAAGACTGAAGTAGTACTTTCTTGTAAAACATATTCCAATAATCTTGGTTTAGTTTACAACTTCAAAAAATCATTTTGTAATGTGTACAAATGTTTATTTTGCATCTTATGGCATGATCAGTAAAAGTGATTAAATATTACAGTTTTTTTTTGTTCAGAGCACTTAAAATTTAAAGAAATATGTGAATATAAACAGGACTTGAGAATCTGAAATTGGACTGGATTCATTGTGAAAATTAGTGCAAATAAACATGCCTAGTGTTGTTGTAGAATAACAAAAAACCATGCTTGTCTAAGGAGAGCAGCGTGAGTGATGAAGGTAGAGGAGATCTCTCTCAGCACTGTTCTGTAATTACAGACTAAAGCTTTTAGACTGTGAATTATAGTGATTGATTTGTTCGTCTGTGTGACTCAGTTAAGAGTCATCTGAAATTCAAACTGAACTAATCAGAACAACAACCTTTTCCCCTTGATGGGGCATAAACAATTCCACCCGCTTCATAACTGTACACCTCATAACTCTATTATCATGTGTCTCAAAAGGATAGTTCATCCAAAAATGAATATTATGTCATAATTTATGTCTTCCTCATGTAGTTCCAAACTTGTATGACTTTATTTCTTCTGTGGAAATATGACATATTGCAGAACAACCACTGTGCTCTTTTTTAAATTGAATTACATCCAAAAAAAAGGCACACTGGACATTCTGCAGTATATTTTTTGATGGATTGCACAAAATGACATGAGAATGAAGTAATGATGACAACATTTTTGGAGGACTATCTTAAAACAATTCTATGTTAGAGCATCAGTGCGTAATTGCATTTTGTTTTTAGGTATACTAAAAAATAAAGTGTGAAATATTTTGTGCATATATACATTAGTGATTTACCCAAATTATTTTTTTTACCAAAACACTGAAATCACAAATGAAAGTTTTCATTTAGCTGAAAAGAAAAGCCAGAAATGAACACAATGAAAATAGTCACTTTTTGGCCCTTTTTCATTTTTATCAGCCGAATATATTTGGTTTCCAAAATGTCAGTGCATCACTAATACATATATATTTGTAGGGGTGGGAGAAAAAAATCG